TGTTTAAATAATTTTGATATATTATTAGGTGATTTTCCCGAAAAAATAGATAAAAACAAATAATATAAAATTATCATACCCGAATTATTTTTATTTTTCATACCAAAAAATCTATTTGTGCATTTATTTTTTATATAAAAATTTAAAAGCAAAACAGAACAAAAATTACAACTAAAATAATAAAGAGTTGGTGGAAAAGTCGGCTTTAGCAAATTATAGTAAAATATATTTTTTATTGTTATAAATAAAAAAACATTTTATATCATTTTAAAAACATTAATTAAAACAAAAAAATAATGAAAAATACTTGTAAAACCAAACAATGGTTGAATTTTTTAATATTCCCGTTAATAAAATTGACGTTTCGGATACGTAATATAGTTTTGTTGTTGTGGTTGTATTACCCCATAAACAGTCAATTGCGACCACTTGATGTTTGTTTTTAAAAATGAAAATGAAGATTTAGTAAGTATAAAAGAAAGCAAATTTGAAAGTTATCAAATTAATTAATTAATTTTTATTTAATAAATACAACACAATTCAACAATAAAAAATTTAATGTAGCATTTTGAAACAATTAATTTATAACAACAAAATTGGACTTTTAAAAGGGGATTTACCTTTTACACCCACACCCCGCTATAAATACATATTTTTTATATAAAAATAAAACATTTTTTGTATTTTTTGTTTTTTGAGTCTTGAAAAAAATAGGGTTTTACTTTTTCTCATTTACATCTAAAAAAGTAAAACCAGTAAAAGTTTTATATAAAACGTCATTTTTTTGTTTTTTTTTGTTTTTTTGTCGCATGTTTTGGCGCAAAGAAAACGTTTTGATTTATATTTAATTTTAAAACACTAAATTATATAATAATTAAATAAACCATACTTTCAATATTAACAAATCTAAAACTCTTAATTACTAAATGGAAGAACACTCAACCAAAATCCAAGTACTTTTCACCTTCGATGTCAAAACCAAAGAAGGTAACCCTTATTTATTTAAAGAAAAGCTTGAAACCCCAGACAACATCATCGATTCAATAGCCAATGCGTTTATTTCCTACAACTTCAAAACCCAATCAAAAACAATGGCAGAGGCATCAGCTATCTCTGT